AGCCAAGTTGATATATACCTTTAACCATCACAGAGTCCTATCAATGAAGAAAGAAGATAAAGAGGGACTAAAGAAATGAGTGGACACAGTACTTCCCAGGGAACAGTGCTGCCCATGTGGCCCTCCTTTATCCAGAGGAGTTTTGGGCCAAGTGTCAACTTGCAGATTTAGGTGAGCTTCCATACTCCAAGGCACCCTGAGGTTGGTGAACATATCTGTTCTATCGGAGTTCCTGAGAAACACTTCACCAGTGTTTCTCATCCAAGCCAGTTAGTTACCTGTCTACACAGAATAGTGTTCCCACCTCTAAATCCTGTGTTTCAGAGCAGAATCTTCGTCAATGGGAAGGCCAGTCTCAACAGCCATTGCCCCATCGCCAACGTCCCTCTGACTCTTCAGATGACCCTAGCCCAGTGGTAACCACTGAGTGCCTTTTTCTAGTAGACTCTTTTTGGTAGCCATGGACGATGTTTGTTGTCTTTGTCTAAAACCATATCCTCCCAATCTCGTGTTTTTTCCTCATGTTTTGCACCAGGGATAAGCACATGACCCGAGCCAGACAAACAGGATCCTTTCCTGGAATCTTGAAAGCAGCAGGAGAAACTCTCTGCTCTCTGTAGTGTTAAAATGTCTTTCTGAAAACACAGACCTGAGGTTCAGTGCCTAGTCTCAAGGAGAACAATGAACAGAATGACCCCTGGAGAGATGCCAGAGTGAATCTCACAGGGACCAAGTTCCTGGGGCTAGCCTGCCTCTGCTCTGTCTGCAGCTGGGACGTGAACCAAAGATTCCCCTTAGTGTTTACACTGTTTTGTGTTGAGCTTCTGTCATTTAAACTTCAGTCTTTCCAAAGATTTTATGGCTGCGTACCTGCCCATTGCCACAGTATCTTTTCCAATATCCTCTCCCATCCACCAGCCCACAGGAGCAGCTTTGGGTACTGAAGAAGAGGCAGGAGGGGAGACCACTGATGACTGCCTTTTTGAAGTTTTCACCTTCTTTTTTTGACTTTCCATAATGTACACCTTCAGAAGTTTGGCTTCTATGATTCCCAGCAAGGTCAACTATTCTAGATTTAGTCTAAATTCTAGAATATTCCATATTTAAAGATCAACATTACACTTTGAAATTCCAAAGTTACATGAATTTTCTGTAGTAGCAGAAAATTAGGCTTCTGTCTGGAGGTCATAAGACACAGTAGCTAAGGAAAGAAAATGCAAAAAGTAGTACAGCAAAGGTCAGTTGTCAGTCACTGAAAGTCATTCATCATTCAACTACACATAGCTACTACCCTGGCCAGGTTACTCTGTGCAGCGCTGTGTGCTAAATCCTCTCTCATGTAACCATTGTAGCCCTACCAGGATACCCTGCTGCCCTTTCCATTTAACAGAAAGGTTAAGAAATTTGCAAACAGCCAACCTGCTACTAAGTAGAGAATCAGCCCAAGGCGGCCTGATTCCTGCGCCCTTGTTCTTAATTACAACCCTCTCCCGCCTGCCACTTCCTGGCTTTTCAGCCTTAAGAAAAAGGTGCTGGGAAAGTGAGGGAAGGGGTAAATCCTTGACCACCCTAATTCTGTTTTAAACTTCAAGTCTTTCCAAAGGTTATCAGGGTAGAATTTTACAAGTGGAAACAGCCAAAAATTGCATCCAAAATGGAAGGGACAGGATGGGCAAAGGCAGAGAGGGAGGAAAACCCAGCCAACTACTGCATAACACTGGTCCCCTTGGATTGGGTCCAAGGATCTGTGTAGGGCAGTAGCAAGAAACCCCCGAGGAAAGATAGCGTGTGGGAAGGTGATCTTCGAGGGTCACCCTGTAAGTGTGGGGGTGGCACCCCCTACCAGAATCCTGGAGAGTAGAGCGGGATCTGTAGTTTGGGAAAACATCAACATGACTTTTGAAAAAAATCAAGCTCTTCTGTTTTCTACCATCATCATCACAACTGCCACATGTTGTGCCAAACCTTGTCTGCAAACCGCAATCTAGGGTTCAGAATTACTGGGATATTGCGGGCAGTGAGGCCCAGAGGGGTGTGACTAACCAGAATCCAAAAAAACCTGGCTCCGAAGGTCCAAGAAACTCCAGCAGCAGGCACCTTCAAGTACCCTCAGTACCCTCAGCAAAATCGTCTATTCCGGGAGAAAGGACGAGGCTTGACAGCAGAGGCGAATTAGGGAGTCCGAAGACAAGCATTCTACTTCAGAGCCAAGCAGGGCCTAGGAAAACATTGAGCTCCCAATGAGTATTCGTGAAACCACACTTACTATAACCTGAGGTGGGCACAGTTCCAAACAAGAAGCCCCATTTTACAGATGGGGAAACTGAGGCACAGTCATTTAAATAAATCAGGCCTTAGTCTGGGCCGCTAGACAAGGATCAGGCAGCAACTAGAGGCCAGAAGATGACTGACGTAACTGGGGTGAACGTGGAGAAGGGGCGGGGGTTAAAGGGCGGCACTTCTGGGGCCTGAGTTGAAGGAGTCAGCGGGCAGTCGGGCTCCGGAAGCGCCGCATCCACGCCAATGAAATATTCCCGAGCTGTTCCGAGGAGGCGCGCCCACCGGGGATGCTGAGTCACGGTGACCGGCGAGGCTGAGTCACGGTGACCGGCGAGGACGCGGAGATAGCGCCCTCTTCTGACACTTCCTTGCCTACGTGCGAGGAAGAAGGAATCAAGCGCAGGTAATGATGCGGTGGCAGTGTACGCGTGCGCACTCGTATGCGTATGCGTGCGGGTCCGCACGTTCGATCTGAGCGAGGCGGCCGCCTTTGCGCATGTCCGTTCGCCGGCTCTGGAGAACGAAGCAAACGTCCGTGCCCCCAGATCTGGAATGGACTTAGTTCGCACATTGCGCATGTTCCGGGCGGGGTGGGCGTGCGCGTGCGCGTGCGCAAGGGCGGAGTAAACTGCGGTAGGGGCGGCCGCTTCACGCGCGGAGGTGGCGTTGAACGTGTTCTTGATCTTCCCCGCAGCCGTATCCTCAGCGAGTCTTGCACCCCAGATTTTCCCCATCCGTCCATTGCCAGGTCTTTAAAAAAATTTTTCCTCCCCGAACACATAGGCACGTGTTTCCACGAGAACAGAACTGCATACCCCGGACTGCAGCTCCTAACGTTGTCTTAGCGGCCTGCTACCAAACTCTGCTCATGTTGTATTTTAGTCGTATGTGGAAGTCGATTTTGAGTTTTGCAACAAGATCTTAAGTCTAGTTCTATTTTTTTGCTCTGTATCAGCAGTCTGCTTCTTGCTCCAGCACCATCCCCTCGTTTCATTCGCTATACAGTTCCTAGTGAACGAGGCTCTGAGGCGCCGAGCACTGTCTGCATCCTGGGCTCTCATGGAGCCTTCGTTCTAGTGAGAAAGAAACGCAAGCACGCAGAATATTTCACGGTGAGCTACGTGCTGTGAAAAAGCCAGGTAGAGGATGGGGCTCAGGCCGGGAGAACCCGTGGAGAGGCCTGAGCAGGGAGCAGCCTTATGAGCACCAGGCAGGAGGCCTGGAGAGCACAGGCCGGTTAGTGAAGGGAGCTGGCGTGCACGGGAAACCGTGAGGCTGGAGAGGAGGTGAGGCAGGAGCCGGGGTGGTGGCAGTGGAGATGTAAGAACATGGTGGAATTAGAGTGTTCACGGGGAAACACTGGCCTTGCTGAGTAATTGAGAAGAGTAAAGAGGAGTCAAGAATGTCTTCCAAGATTTCTGCCTGAACAACTGGGTGGATGGTATGGTGGTGCCTCATACCAAGGATGGGAAAGAAAGGTGTGTGGAGGGTTCGGGAATCCAAGAGCTTGGATGTGACAGAACATAGTACGGATGTTGAGAAAAAGAAGACACGAATCTGGAGCCTGGTCAAGAGGCGCTCGGCATACTGGGGTTATTTGTCTGAGACTACATGAGATTATCAGGTGATTACAGATAGAGAAGATGGCCAGGGGTTAACGGGCCATTCCCAGAATGAGGAGAACCAGGGGATTGAGGCTTTACAGACTCTAGGGGAGGAGGAAATTGTTGGCCATTTCAAAGGCCACCAGAAGGTCAAGACAAGGTCAGAGCAGCACACTTTGGATTTGGCAAAACAGAAGCTTGGTTGGAGTGGGTAGAGAGGGCAGAAAAGTAGGGGAGGAAATGGAGCTGGCGAGTGCGGACAGGGGTCTGGATCTGTTCTCTCCAGTTCCGCAGCCACTAGCCACATGCGGTTATTGAGCACTTGAAATGTGCCTAATCTGAATCAAGATGTGCTGTAAGTACACAACAATTTCAAAGATTTATTATAAAAAAAACTCAACTACTAGCCAAAAGGTTGGTGGTTCGAACCCACAGAGAGGCACCTAAGATGACAGGCCTGGTGATCTGCTTCTGAAAGGTCAGAGCCTTGAAAATCCTATGGAGCAGATCTACTCTGCACACATGGGGTCACCGTGAGTCAGGATCCACTTGACAGCAACTAATAACAGCAGTATGAAGAATGTAAAATTTATCAATTTTTTCATAACAATTACATATAAAAAATATTTTGGATTGGGCTAAACACATCCTTAATTCCACTTTTTACTTTTTGGTGTGGCCTGAATTGTATTAATTTGGGCAGAGCTGGTTCAGAGACCTGATTCAAAGAGAAACATAAAAAGGGAGTGGTAGCTGAAGGAGGAGATGGAGTCAAGGGAGATAGAAAACAACAAAAACATTGAAGGCTGCAGCATATTTGTGGGATGATGAAAATAAGCAGGGGTGATGCAGAAATGGATGACTTACGAGGTAGGGAGAGCTGCAGGAATGAAGGCCTTGGGGAGAAGAGCCAGATACACAGCATAAGGGTTTCCGATGCTGGTGGTCAAGTGGATTTGACTGGGAATTTAATACCCTTCTTACCTGACAGAGGAGCCCTGGTGGTGTGCAATGGTTAAGGGCTTGGCTGCTAAACAAAAGGTCCAGGGTGCAAACCCACTAGTGGCTCAATGGGAGAAAAGACCTGGTAAAATGCTCCCATAAAGATTACGGCCTAAGAAATGCTATGGGGGCAGTTCTGCTCTGTCCTATAGGGTCACTGAGTCAGAATCGAGTCAAAGGCACGACAACTCACCTGACAATGCAGTATATGGTCAGGTCCTCAACTGAGCATGAAGAAGGGTACGCTGGGGGCTGAAGAGAAAATGTTAAAGCTTGCAACCTATTACACTGACACTCTGTATTTTTGTGTCCTTTAAAAGACTGAGTTTCGAGGCTGGGACTGCATCATCTTTGCAGCCCTGGCTCCTAGCAAGGGTCTGGCCACTAGGTGAAATTATAAATGTTGAAACCAACAATTCTGAAACAGTCTCTCTCCTAGGCGTACATTTGCCACTCAATCCCAACACACGCCACATCCAGTTCCCTCACAGACATGCAGAGGCCTGGGCCCCAGCCAGCCTACCCTGTGGAATTATAAGGCCAGCTCCATGTGTTACTTCCAGGGGCCTGCCCCAGGAAGTTCCTCGGGCTTCCCAGCGCCTATGGTCCACATGCATGGCTTCTCTGGCAATCAAGGAGCACTGGAAAGGTTTATTTCCTCTTTGTCTCCAGCTCAGCAGGCAGGTCCCGAGAGTGGACACACAGTGCACAGAGAGCCATCTTTTCCCAGTCCCATAGCCGGGATGTGACATTTCAGCTACACCTGGAGCTGGAAGCCTCACTCTCCAAGGAGCCCCCAGGTGGCAAAGGAGGGTCACAAGCCTCATAAGGACATTACCTCCTGTGTGTCCTCCTCCCTCTCTCAACTAGGCTGTCCCGAGGCTGAGGCCGCCAAGGACCCTCTTGGAGCTCAGCTGTAACATCTGTCTACTTCCATTCCTGCCAATGGGTCACCCAGCTGGGGCGAGGGGACTCCTGTGTCCACCACTATGAATCAGAAGTCAGTGAAGAGCACTGAGTGCTAAATAGGAACACAAATAAGAGCATTTTGCCTGCTAGAATTTTAATATGAACTGTCAGTTTATTCCTTGGTACACTCATGTGAGATGGCCGTTACTAAGCAACCTTGTCCTGAGCTGCACTTGGCAGGCTCTGGGACATGGTCCCTAGGCTCAACTTCCGGGTACCTCAGCAGAAAAAACCTGAGTGGTACTTGCACTGATAGGTTATAGGTTATAGACTAATGCTCACTCATTACTCCTTTTTCCTAAATTCATGAAAAAGTTTTAAGAGTTTTAATGAAGTATTTTCTTTCTATAATGAAAATGAGCTGAAGCTCGTCCTCTATTTGTGGTTCCCATCATACAATCCTTCCTTCTGCTTAGCAGGATGGCATCACCAGTGGGATGGGGCCTCTCTCCCAGTGGACTGGGTCCTGGTGGAAGGAGGGGTTGAAATGAGTCCTCTTCCCTGGGTCAGCTCCTCAGAAAGGCAGGCTGGGTGGCTCACAAACCCATGTTTGGCGGGATGTGGGTGGCAGCAGCTCAGAGCCCAAGGAGAGAGCTTTCAGGAGACAGGCTCCTTCATCACTACATTGGCTCCACCTGTGGAGAGGCTGCACCCCGCTGGGGCCTTAAGGAATTCAACAGGAGAGGTGTGGTGGGTTGTTCTGCTTCCTGTCTACCCACCCCAGCTCATCCAGTGGTCTTCCCTGGCAGGTCTCAATCAGAGGACAGGATGACCTAAGAACCAACCCAGGTGCAGGACCAGGCTTTTCAAAGTAATGAATTAAGTGAGACTTCTGAGATGGTGTCGATTGCAACTCATTTTAAACAAAGATACAAAGTATTATTAAATGTATATTTTTAATAAAGCCAATAGTTATTTCACTTATAGGAGCTTTAAAAGTAAGATACAAAATGCAGAGTTCCAGTTTGGAAGCGTTTAACTATTCACACCATGTCCTGCTGATGCCCGAGCAAGGCAGCCACGCCCGGCCATGCAACGGACACACACTCACACACACACATACACGTGCGCTTTGGCGAGACCCCTCTGCCGAGCGCAGCACCTGGAATTACCAGTGTTCAGAGCAAGGTGGTGCTGAGAACACAGCACCTACATGGAGACCACACAAACAGCTTCACACGGTCTCACAGCCCATGGAGATGCAATTACAAAATGTCTTTCTTAATAGAGAAAAACTGGAAAGTGATAACAGGGTTGTCACCTGTGCTAGGGAATCAAGGACTGACCTCCATCCAGAGTGAGGTCTTTGGGGAGGCACTATAAAAACAAGAGTACTTTAGTATAATAGAACTTGAAATACAGGGTACTGTGGACACGTTACTGAAGGAACTAGAAAACTATCTTACAAGTGAAACAGCCACACACAACTTCAACAGAGAGATAAGTGTGCACACTGTGACAGCTAACACAGACGAGCCACGCAGGGTTGGTGCAAAGCATGTGCCTGAAAAAGTCTATGTACAAAATAGTTGTCTGTAAACGTGGTGAGGTGAACCTATGGTGACAGTATCATCAGTACAGGCAGCAACGGCATCCCCACACAGCACAAGACAACACCTGAGGCCTGCAAACAGCCTGGCAACACAGGACTCAAAATTCAGGTGGCTGGGCTCAGACACCCTACAGGGTCCTCTATGATTTGTGTATGTGTGTGTGTGTGTGTGTGTGTACATACATATATATTTATTTATTTTTGGTATTTTTAAATATAAATTTAATTATATTTGTAGAAAAATGAGAACATAAATGTGTTATTACAATCTTTGCTGGAAAAGCTTATATGGAGTTAGAAAGAATAAACCATTTATTAGTAGTTAACATATATTAAAATGGCTTAATGATTTAAGAAAATATAAAAAAAATATTAATACTGTCAAACTTTCATACCAGAAAATATTAATGGATTTTTTCAATTAGACTTTTTCAAAGATGAAATATGAAAAATTTAAATAAGTTTTATATAAAGAACTTTCTGTAACCTCAATTAATATACAGTGGGATATGTCTATTCTATATATACTTATTATTTCTCAATTTAAGCACCATTCAATTCTTCTGGATCCATTCTGGCTGGAAAATATCCCTAAATCCACAGGATGTTAACTATTTAATGGCACATGTTAATTGAAAATGAGGTTTTTTGTTTCTGTTTTTTTTTTTTCTTTTTCTTTTTTCTTTTTTAAGGAAAAGACTTTAAATTAATTCCTATCTACATCTTCGTTGGTTTGTCTTCTGAGCCAGTTCACAAGTGTCTCTTGTGCAGCCCCCTGGCCACACCTCTACCTTGTGAGGACTGTGACAAGGCCTCTGTCCAGGCCTCTGTCCATACATGGAAGTATCTGAGGTGCTGGTTCATGCTGCACGTGGACAGCGCTGGCTGGGTCATCTCCATGTACTGTTGGGAACACGCTTCTGACATCAGTTTTGCGATCCCGCGTTTGTAACTCTGGTAAAGGCTGCACCTCCTGGGTGCTGCTGGGGCGGTGAGGGACTGCCCTCCTACAGAAAGCCCACTGATTGCTTCTGCCCACACATAGTTCATAACTTGCCTATTTTATATAAGCTTAAATATAGTGTTGAACAAATCTCTAGCCACAACATTTGCTATCTTAAAATATTCGATGCATTTTAGGCAGGAGATGTTTTAACCAAATACCTACGAGAAAAACAGCCATAAAATACAGTGATTTATGTGGTCATCACTCAACGTGTTGAGGGAGTTTTGGAAGAATGGTCAGTTCTGCTCTCAGCTTTCAGGCCTGATGCCTTCCCAGCACATACAGTGCGACTAAAAACTTCTAAAGCTGTGTTTCTCAAAGAATAGTCTGTGGCCCACCTGCATCAGAATCACCTGAGGTGCTTATTAAGCACTCAGATTCCCAAGCATCCCCGAGGGTTAGATACCTCCATCTTCAGCTGGCTCTCCAGGGGTCTGATGCCTTCCAAGTTTGAAAAGCCAGGATTTAAAGGCTTGGAGCTGCCAACCTCCTGGGTTCCCAAGCATCCCTGCCTGGGGAGCTGGTGTCAGCTACACAGCCCTGGGGTGGGAACACTGGTCCCAACAGCTCTGGGAAGGTGGGCAGGCTGGCCCTGGGGTCAGTACTGGGGCAAGTAGGCTGGCCTGCGCTCAGCCTTCCCGGGGAAGGCCTTGAAGCCCTTGGGTGCTGCCTTGTGTGCTGGTGGGGGTGGGGGCTGCGGTGGGGTCTGCACGTAGGTAAAGGAGGCGGCGCTGCAGTCGCTGGTCGCAGCCCACACCGGAGACTGCAGCATCTGCATGGTGTCGTTCCACTGGCTGCTGGGGCTGGCCACCGCGTAGAGAGGTGTGCTTGGACTCGGCAGTGTGCTGGGCAGCGGGGAAGAGTGTTGCCAGGGTGCTTTGGGTGGCCATGTTTTGGTTTTGTTATCCTGAGAGACAGAATAGGATTCTCAGTGGTGTTTCTCGTGATTTATCCTCTTTTTCCACCTGCCCGGATCTCTGGCCCTTATGTCCACCTAGGAAGCAAGGTGAGATCCCTCCACCCGTTCCCCATAGCCCTGGAGCAGTGCTGTCCAACTTTATGCAATGAAATAAACGTACCACATCCGCACTGTCCAACGTGGTAGCCACTAGCCACATGTGGCTAATGCAACTGAGGAACTGAGTTTTTATTTATACTTAATTTAATTAAATGTAAATAGCTATATGTGGCTAGTGGCTATCATACTGGCAGCGTAGCCATAAAGCTTCCTCCGCATGTGGCTCTGAGTAAGTTGAGAAGGCTAATCATTTAGACAAAACCATGGGCGAAAAGCTGACTTAAGAAAAAACGTAATTCACCACAAACAAAGCAGAAGCACTCCTTACTCTGAGGCCCTCTTAAAGATGAAGCTTTGGAAGCCTGCTCATGGTCTCAGCCAGCCCCTCCTGGCAGAGAACTGCCCACAATACCTGGTTCATGTCTTCTACGGTAGTGAGAAGAGGTGGTGAGGGCAGCGTGTTGGTCTCCTGCTCTCCACTGCTGTGTTTCCTGAAAGAACCAAGAGCTCAATCCAGATTACCTGGTATCCCGCCCACCTTACCTCCGGGGGCACTGAACCACTTGGCTCAGCGTCTCCAGGCTCCAGTTCTAGGTGGGGAGGCCTTGGGTCCACTGCATTCCGGGGGAGAAGGTGGTCAGCCCTGACAGGTTATACTCCTGAAAGCCTCACGGGTGGGGGTGGGTGAGGCAGGCATTGCTTAGCTGCTCTCAGAGTCCCCCAGCTTTGGCTTTTTTGAGTTTATTCAACAGATACTGACTGCTTACCATGCACTGGAGGTATGTGACTTACAAACAACAGGCTGTTAGTTTTACTTATAACATGGACAATGCGAAATGAAAAAAGCAGGATGTAGCAGATCACAGCCAGGTAAAATCAAGCTCTGTCAGTACTCTGCATACAGACAGTGGTCTCTGCAGAGAGGTGGTGCTAGAGGTGACTTATTTATTCTTCTTAGGCCTCTCAAATGTACTGTGTCTACAGCAGAAGTCTTACTGCCCACCCTGGCTCAAACCTGCTCCCCCTGCAGCCCTCTCACATAGACGCTCAGGTCATCCTCGATTCCTCTCTCACACACACCCCATGGCCAAGCCCTACAGGTTGCTCCCTCACTTCGTTCAGCTCTTGCTCATGAGAGAGGCCTTCTCTGACCACCCTTCTGAAAACAAAGAAATCAGCCTCTGCCTGCACTGTCTGCCGCAGTACCTGTGTTCTTTTTCTTTATAGCACCTAACCCTTTGTTTGTTTAGCTGTCTTCCCCCACTAGAATGTATGTTCCATGAGGGAGGGGATTTTGTTTTGTTCACTGCTATATCACCAGTCCCTGGCACATGATAGGTGCCGCCACTGAATGAATGAATGAATTTAACTTCTCTGAGCCTTAGTTTCCTCACCTATAAATAGGGGGTAAAAAAAGAAACCTGTATCATGGTGGTTTTGAGACGTGAGAAATGTATGTAGAGTGCTTAGCCAAGGGCGTGGCATGCAGAAAGCACCCAAATGTCTGTTAGCAATCACTGTCACCACCACTGATACTATTCTGTGTATCCTAACCTGGGTACCCTTCAGTCTTCATCCACCTGTTCCCCACTGCGTATCCAATGAAGTCTGACCCTGTCACATGAGGGCCACAGAACATGGCCTCCCTTTCCGCACCCAGGCAGCGCTGCATCCTCTCCATTCCTGCCCTCGTCCCTCTCACTGCCATTTTGGGCCCTGTGCTTCCTTACCCAAATCTCTCTACTTCTATTCAAATTCTTCTCTTAGTCTAGGGTCCATTTTAATTTTTGTGACTACTTTTGAAAACTTCTTAGATCTGAATATACTATATTACTATTTTTTCGACTCTGAAAACCATTCAGAGGTCATTATATCCAGCCCTACCTTGGAAAGACAAAGCAGCTGAGGGTCAGAGGCCAGGCCCTCATCTGGAGTTGAACAGCCTGTCGGTGAGTCTTGATTAGAACTTGGCTGTCCTGGCCTTGCTCATCCCACTGACAGGGCTGCCTCCTGGATGGCAGAGACCAGTATCGGCAGACCCTGTGTCCGAATCCTCTCTGGATGTCTTACTGGTATTCTTAGCTATCACTGCATGAGACTTTCATGTCAGCAAAAACTCAACCCAATGTAAGTCACCTGGGCTACAAGCCTGTGTGATGTCCACATAGAGGCCTCAGCAGACCAAGGCCAGCTGTTCTTTGTGGAGAACACCTCCTGAAGATGCTCCTTAGAGGCCTTCAGCCGGACAGTTGGGATCTCACACAAAGCAGACTGGGAGACTGGCAGAGATGGGGCTCCTGACCCTTCTAGAGAAATAAACTGTGGGAAAATTCACATGCCCTTCGCTCCTCTTTGGTTTAGAAATCATTCATACCTTCTCTGCTTGACAGCAGCAACGAGGTCAGGCCCTGAAAACATGGAGAATAAGCTGTCTCCATTGGCAGAGGACGTCTCATCACTTGAGCTGGCTGAGTCTCCCTGAGCGCCTGACCAGCCACTGGACAGGCCATCCCTAAAAGCCAAAGACAGAAGCCTCCTATAGCCAGTCTGGTCACTGGCTTGACAGCATTAGGCCAGCCCCCACCCTCTACCCAAGCCCTAAAAGAGCAGTCTTTACCCTGCACTCATTTCATAACCAAATAGTGGTCTCTTGTCTCTCTTCTAAGAACTCAAGGTTTTCTTCACTCCCCGTATTATAAAAGCAATCCATATTCCTCTTAGAATCCTATCGTTTGTATATGAAATTTATCTTAGAAAAAACAAAAAGTTCAGATGGTCTTTAGCTGTTCAGATTTATTGGGTATGTAGCAATAAGGGAGGTGAAAAGTCAACCCCCGGTTGTCTTTATGATGGAAATCCACAATTCTCTCAATACACTAGAATCTGACCCATACACTGTTGCTTTGTGTAGGCTCCAATGATAGTATTCCATAAGTCACATGGGTTTCAGAGCTACACTCCTCGCAGCATAAAGCCCGTACTAACGGCACAACTGCTTCACAAACACCATCCAGTAAGAGCCTCATCTAGGGCTGCAGAGTCTGTCTTAAAAATCATCAGTCCATACTGATGGTGTGTTCACTGGGGCACATCATGCCACATCAGCATCCTATGGCCAGTCCCAAAACTCTGACCCTCTGAAGTTTTAACCATGTGTCACTCTCACTTGGGGGTTTGTAACTGAATTGTGCCTGACAAGAACATACAACGGCCACAGAGCCTCCTTCTCCTGGGCCCCATGGAGGACGTCAGTTCCCAAACTTGGCTTCCCTGCCATACCCGGCACTCACCCTTCCATGAAGAACTCCGGTAAAGGCCAGGTCCGGTGGGCATCGTCCATGGGCAGCCAGTTGCCCCGGGGGTTGCCTGAGCGGCGACCATGCTGGGCTTGCCGCTTCTGCTGCATTGCCTGGCTGACTCCCGCCACGTAGCGTGCAAACTCTGGGTCTGAGCCCACTGGGTTGAGACAAAGGGACAGGCGGGGTTTAGGGTCAGATTGGCCTCTTGGTTCCTTCTCTACCCTCTGAGCACTGTGTCTCACACACAATTTAAAGTGGCCAGGGGCTCTGGGCCTGTGGTTCTAGGCTATGTCCAGCACCCTGCTATGGTGAGATGAGGGCTTTCAACACACAGGTCTGAGGTTGGGGCATGGTGTGTGCAGGGACTGTCAGGAAGGGTTATGTCTAGGACAGACAGGCTGAATGTGAATGAAAGAGAGAGAAAAAAAGGGCTTGATTTATCATGACAATTTTAAAGACAAATACTAGTTACTTGTAATTTTTGAATGTCTGGTACTGTGTGCCTAGAGTCATTACCTAAGAACTCAGAAAGTCAGATGATCACTTTGACAAATTGGTAACCTGCAAGTGGCTATCAAAGCATCAAGGTCAGCCAGGTAGAGAATAATATTCCATTCCCACTTGGGCCAAACTTTGATTCAGTGGGCTCAGACCCGGAATGTTCCTGGATATTGGATGGCAGACCCGCTCAGTCTGAAGACAGTAAAGATGGACAAATATAAGATGCCATCAGTAGCAGCTAGGTGGGCCTGCTCTAAAAAAGCAGGGTAGAACTGCACATCCTTCCTATGTCCCAAGGCTGTAAACACAAGGTTCCCTAGATCTACCTACCCAAGGAGAGCAAAAACAAGAAAGCATGAGCAGCAATATGATGAGTTTTTGGAAGACCTAAGAAAGCATTCCCTCCTTTAATAGTTAACGCTGGGATGTTTTAGCAAGGAATCTCTTCTTCTTGTGGTATTTATTATATAAATATTTACTGTATTTATTTACAATTTACATATTCCTTCTGTGAGTGAAATTTATTTTCCACTTCTATATACCTTGTGCTAAACTAGAGGAAAATGTAACTGATTTTTATATATTTTTCTTGCATCTACCCACTTTACTAGATTCTCTTACTAATTCCAGAAGTTTTTTATTGGGGAAACTTTTCTTCCCAATCCTATCACCAACAAAGAGAGGTAGCTTTTTAATCTATCCCTTCCTAAATCTTATACCACACCACTTACTTCATTGCTTTTTGTCTTGCTGTATTTTCTAGAAAGTCCAAGATAAAGTTACACACTATTGGTGATTACAGATATCTCTATCTGGTTTCTGATTTTAACTGACATGATTTTCTGTTTCATCATACCAGATACTATTTGCTATTGGTTTTGGTAGATAGTCTTTTTATTTTCAAGAAATTTCCTTCTATTCCTATTTTGAGGGGTTTGTTTTGTTTTTTTACGACTCTCTAAGATGTCTATAACATCTATTGATCAGTTTTTCTCATTTACTTGGTTGATAAAATGGGTCACTATACATTAATAAGAGCTCCTTATACTGAACTACTACTGTAAACCTCTGATGTAAACCCGATTTAGTCACAGTATATTACTCTTCTGATACACTGCTAGGTTTTCTTGCATCTATCCATATCCATAAGTGAGAAATCCTATAGTTTGCTTTTTAATACTATCCTTATAAAGTCTTCATGGTAAAGTTATGTTGGCTTCATAAAAAAAGAACTGGGGAATTATCTTTTTCTGTGTCTGAAATAGTTTAAATAACTTTGACTTATCTGTACCTTAAAAATTGGAGGAAAGCTGGCTATAAATCAACTGTTCCTGGTACCTTTTTCTTTTAAACACAGATCTTTAATTAACTTTCCAATCTCTTCTCTTCAAATAGATCTAGGTAGGTTTTCCACCTCTTGGTGCGATTTTGGTAATGTATATTTTACTAGGAAATCATTCTGTACTCAGTTTTCAAATTTGTTGCCTTGAAGTCATAGGTAGTGATCTCTTAAAATGTTTTTAATGGCTCCTATGTCTTTAGTTACATCTCCTTTCTCTTTCCTAATCTTGTTTTTCTTTGTTCTCTCTCAATCAGGCTCACAATAAATTGGTATATCTGTTTAATTGGTCTTCCAAGGACTTAGTTTTAGATTTACAATTTCTTTCTTTTTAACTTAATTTTGGCTTTTATCCTTAAGAAGTCCCCAGGTGGTGCAAACAGTTAAGCACTCGCCTACTAACCGAAATGTTGGTGTCTCAAACAAAGGTCTGGTGGTCTGCTTCTGAAAGGTCACAGCTTTCAAAACCCTATGAAGTGCAGTTCGACTGGACAGCAAATAGTTTGGTTTGGGTAGTGCAAACAGTAAATGTGCTTGGCTGCTAATCGAAGGATTGGTGGTTTGAGTCCATCTAGGGGCACCTTGGAAAAAAGGCCTGAAAATCTACTTCTGAAAAATCAACCACTGAAAACCCTATGGAGCACAGTTCTACTATGACATACATGGAGTCACCATGAGTTGGAGTTGACTCCATGGCAACTGGTTAATGGTTAAACCCTTAATTAAGTCCTTCTTCTAGTTTACTTTCATTTTGTTTCTAGGCTCTTTTTCTAATCTCTTAAGAGGACTCTGGCGAGTGTGTGTTTGTTCCCACAGTCTGGGCCAGGAGAAGCTTCACTCTATGAAGGCAGGAGAGTGCCCTACCACTTTTCATAGTTCTTTAGTGTCCTAGAAGCTTAGGCAGAAATGAATCACAAGGAACAGGTGTGTAATCAAGAAAAATGCACCCACATTGGGTCAGCTGCCTTGGCTCCCAGGAATGAGAGGGCCCACAACGGAGCCCACTTGAACTATGAAACTTTGAGCAATTCAAGTAACTTCTCTGAGCCTCAATTCTGTCCTTTATAAAGTGAGAAAAAAGGTTCTGCTTACCTTCTCAGTTTATTCTCACCACTGTTTCCCACTCTTGCTAGATCTGCCCCACACTTGCCACCAGACAGCAAGAAAGGGTCTTTAAAGGGGGAGTAAGTCATTTCACTGCCATGGTGAGGCTGTGGTGGAAGGCCCTGAAGCCCTCAGTGATTATATTTTATGTTAAAACCCCAAGAGGGCCACACATACCTGCAGGATCAAAAGGCAGAGTCTCTCCCAGCATCCCAAAGACTCCATCGCTTTGGTCGCGGTTTGGCCAGGTGTTATTTCTAGGTCCCTGTGGTTTCTGTCCCAAAACCTCTGACATCACATTATCCATATAGCTGCTCACCAAACCCAAGCTGTACAAGTCAGAACTGAGATCAGATACGCCAGGCCATTGGCCAAGAGGAGATAGACCTGCTCCAACAGGCTGTGCCTGTGCTGGCTGCTGGGATGAGCCATGTACCCATTTTCCAGGTGCCCGGGGCTGGGGAGGGGGCTGCTGAGGTCCAATGGGTTGGAGCAGGTGTTGGTAGTACTGGACCTGGGGTTGCTGTTGCTTTGGGGACTGCTGCTGAGGAGCCAACCCCAGCTGGGGTGTCAGAGGTGTGTGTGTCCCTGCCTGGGGGGGCCGTGGAGGGGGCACTGGCAGTGGTGGTTGCTGTGGCTGCACGGCTCCTGCCTTTTGTTCAGTCACCATGGCTGTGGCAGCAGAATTACGCCTTGTCATCAGTGGGGAGCCCTGGTGGGACTGGCCCATGTTAAAGCCCGAGAGAAAATCTATCACCTCCTGCATTTCCTGATCGGTTGGTAAGTTCATACCCTTCTCGTCCTTGCTGTCATCACCGTGCAGGAAGTTCTCATGCCTCTCCATGAGAAAACCATTGGCCATTTGATTACCAGCATTCTGAGCTGACTGTGAAGGGTCTGTAGTTCTAGGGAAATTACCAATGTTCAAAATGCTTTGTAACCTTGTATCAATATTACTGGACATTTTGGGCTTCTCTTCTGAACACCCAGCTATGAAGATGTTTTTGGAAGGGGTATTTGGGATGGAATAATTTGTACTGCTGCTTGAGCTGGTGCACGAAGCTTTCTTGGTGAACCGGGATGTCAGTTTGGCGAATGTCTTCTGGAGGCCTGAAGATTTGTTTCCATTTCCAGAAGGCAGGTCAGCCTGATTCCCAAAGTCACAGATCTCTCTTTGCAGCTGGATCTGAATACATGGTAAAGCTTGTTCCCTTTTATACATAAATTATTATTAAAAAAAAAAAAAGAAGAAGAAGAGGACAAATACACAAATTTGACAATGAAACAGACCTTTTTGTATTTAACACAGACTTTAAGAACAAGAAAGACCCCTCTGATTGACATCAGGTGTGCTTGTTTTATAGCTAAATGAACACTCAACGGTTTGAAGTGTACGTAGTTTAAACACTTACTGTCTATATGTATTAGGTATACAGTGTACAGCATAGGGTGCTGAAAACTACCTTAGGATTTCTGGCCTGAAGAGTTTGAGTGAAACTCTCCAACCGTAGCACAGGGGAGCAAGGCATGCTGAGAATGGGGATGCATGGGGTAGAGGCCAGGTTTGTGGCTGGAGGACGGGGTCCAAGAGTTAGGTAGATCTGCAGAGGGACAAGGGCAGATCCATGCAGCAGAGAGAGGTGGGTGGGGAGGACTCAGGACACTACGTGGCACCATCGTCCTTGGAAATAATTTACAGATGTTGCCAAGAACAGACGGGTGTTACTCCCAAGGTTTTCTAAGCACTTTTTTCTGTATGGAAAGAAAGCTCTAGAGCTAGGGCGAAGGGCAGGGGATGGTAACCGAGGCAGGTGAGCAATGGCTGACACTGGATAAATCACTTCACCTTTCCAGGCCTCTGTGTGCTAACAAACGAAGAAGGAGGGAGGGGGCCAGGCTGGATGTTTAAAGTCCCTACAGTTCCAAAGTTTACCAATTCATCAAGAGATAATCTAGCAACTGTCAGCTACACTCACCTATAAGTAAATGTCATGCAGGATCTAAGTAAATTTTCTAAACATTCCTCTGTCCTTAGGAGAATTATGAGTTGAGTTAAAAGTCCTTTTGACGGGTAAAGGGACACCACGTCCACAACTTACTCTCAAATGATCAAAAAGAGGCAAAAATGTTAACAAATTTAGGAGTCTGGCCATTGGGAATACAGCAATTCTCTGTACCATTCCTGCAACTTTTCTAAACTTTGACATTATTCCATATATAAAAAGTTACCAAAAAGTTCTCTTTCCTGCCTTGTTTATCCACACACTGTACTATCAGTGACGAGAGCACATGAGACTGTATATGGTTACAATACCCCTAGGTATGGACCTGAATGCAAAGATATGGCACAGCTAATCCAAGTGACTGATGTGGACACCAACCTCCCTGCCCTCCAGCGGTTCAGGTCCAGCACAGCCGTGTAGAGCACGTCTACCAGACCCAGCGTCTTCTCAGGATCGAGGCTTCTCTGCAGTAGGGACATGGTAGCAGGGTCTTCTTTCAGGCACCTAGGCACAAACTAGACTGCATCAGTCACAGCTGTACTTCTCTGCAAAGGTGTTTCAAGCAAGCCTCATGAAAAGTCTACGCTTTTGGCACCCCCTCCTCAAAATTAAATAATTATGAGAACATTTAGAAAATGACAGGGCTAACATTGGGACCTGCTGCTCCACAAAAGGACAAGAAGGCAGGGAAAAAGTCAGGAAAGCAACAGGGTCTGGAGTCTCCATGGATTTCTGATTGTCTAGAGTCTGCTTAAGGAAGAGAAGGACTCAGAGAAGGGGGCTGCCTTCCAGGGACCTTAATGCCCCCTCACTGTCCAACATTCACTCCAGCTTGACTTCCTGGAATCCCTGCTGAGAATCTGTGGTCTGGCACAGTATCTACTCCTTTGTTAACTCCTCTCCATAATTCTCTTGCCCCTCCCTTCCTCTGTAACACCCCATACCTGTACCTAAGAAACTGAGAGTGAATCAAGAGGAAAAAACACCTCACTGTCTGCCCCTGGACTCAACATAAATTTCACGCAAGCAACAACAATTTTTTTGCCTTCCCATAAATTAATTTTTCCAATTCCCGAGATAACTATGTCACTCCTCCTTCTCTCGCCTCAAAGCTCTGACATCCTTGTCACCTCTCCCATGCTTTCCTATCTTAACTTTCCCTTATCCACAGGCAAGCAGATGGGATCTACTTCATCTCCTCCGTCACTAATTCCACCGATTCACCTGCATCTATGTCCACACACCTGCCTTCCCCTCCTATCATAATGGAAGATGCACCCACTCTTGCCACAGGCTGGCCCTCCACTTGAGCACTGGATGCCATACATCCTCTTGCCTTACCAAGGACCTCAACTCGTGTAATCACACCACCTTTTTCTTCCCTAGGATATTCCCTTTGGCACACAAACCAGCCTCACCACATATCCTCTTGGTCCCATATTTCCCACCAGACAATCCCTGTTTCTCTGCTCCATAGGTCAGCAAAATACAGTCTCCTCCTCTTCTTTACTTCCTGTTCTCTCCTCACTCCAACCAGGCTTTCATCCCCATAACTCCACTAAAATAGCTGTCATCACACAAATCAGATCTTGCCAAAGACAACTGTCAATGATCTGTCCTCACGTGACTCAATCTCTCGGCAACATTTCGCAGTATTTCCTTCTGCCTGGAAACACTGTCTTCTTTAGCTGTGGTGGCCCCACCCTTACTTGATTTTCCTTCTACCTCACCAGCAGTGTTCCTTCTTGGTCTCTCCTGCCTCTATATGCTGGAGCGGGCCCTCTGGGAGGTAAATGGTGAAATCCACACGTGCAAAGCCACCCTAATGAGGCAGCAGCACTCCCCAACATGACTTTGGCTTGAGAAGAAATAAACCTTGTAAGAGTGGGAGCTGGCAGGCCTCAGATGCACAGAAAAAAGCAAACAATAAGGCAAGTTCAGACAGTGCTCTATCAGACCCCAAACTCCTAGAAGAGGGCCTTGGCCACTGAACTCAGCATTGCTCTGGCCCCAGTGGCCAAATTACCTCACACTGTGCACCTGACTCTCTCAGCCTGAAATCACCGATTATCAGGCACATGCCTTCCACTTGCTCCAACTCTATGCTCCAAACAGACTTCTGGTTGTGATTTGGCTTGCCACTTAACATCTTCCCACTAGAAGAGCATTTGCTGGTCACGCAGAAAAAATCACTATAGCTCGTGCTGATAATAATTTCTCTTTTTGAAAATCAATAAATGCACATTTTTATTTTATTAGTTTGTCCTGAGGGCTGATCAACAAATGCCCTTCAGAAACTAAACCCATTCTATTGACAAATTACCAAGACTTGCTTAAAACTCTCCACCTGTTTTTAGATTAAAACTCAAGTCCCTCGAAGGCCCTGTGTGTCCTGGTTTCTGTGATGTCCTCTCTTCATCATCACTTATCATATTTACAGCTATGCCAGCTCACACCTCAGACTTTTGCATTTGCTGTTCCTTTTGCCTGGAATGCTTTCCCCATCTGCTCTCTGCATGGCTGGCTCCTCTCAATCCAATGTCACAGCCTCAAAGATCCTTCCTGACTGACCTCCCCATCTAAAATAGCCACCTCCATCTCTCCCCTCTACTCTCTATTATATGACATCACCCTACTCTTTCTTTCTTCATTGCACTGGTCAGTGTGGGCACTTATCCCTTACGTTTATTATCAGTCTTCTCCCCTTCGCCATCACAAAATCAGCTCTCTGAGGGGCAGGGTCACTGTCTGTCTTATTCACAATTAAATTCCCAGAGCCCAGAATAGTGTCTGGCACAAAGTAGGTACTCAGTAAATATTTGTTAAAAGAAAGAATGGATGGATGGCTTAAATATGACAGTTTAAAAATGCCATTAAAAAACCATATCTAGTAGCTGGACATTTCATTTTCCTGAAAGTTAAGCATGATAAATTCTTAACTTGCTTTGCTAAAAATTTCATTTTTCTGAAAGTAGTGTAAAGCACCCACTTCTATTTGAGTTTTTCTCAACAAACACATTTTTTGACTTAAAAGAAATAAAAAACACCTCTAAAACTTTGTATCTTTGTACCAAAAGTAGCCAGCAGAGGGAGCGCTCCAAAGAATCAATTACAAAGGAAATCCAACATATTGGGAGAGTTTGGAGTACACCAAAGTGTTAACCATTTTAGTACTAGTTGTTAATGTTTACCCCGCTATCCAAAAGTTCAGAGTGTTTACTTCAAAATGAGAATTCTGGTTAAGTTTAACATTTTTCAGTAAGAACCTGAATTGCAAAAACAAAGTAAGAATTCAGGAACACAAAAATCTTACAGAAAAGTGAGCTTTTAATTTAAGAAGATGTTTGTGTGTGTATAAATTACTGTTCATTTCAGGAAACAGTATATCATTTCAACAATCAACTTTACATTTTTTTGGAGGGGGGACTCAGAGAAGAGAGGGTTTGGGACACAAAGTCAACTGTCAACTCTCATTTGATACATCAACAAGCTCAAAAAGGAACAATGGCTTAAATACAACTCATACGCATTATCTAGCTACCACTTTAGCCCACATGAGACATCTTAGTATCTTTATCTCTTCCTACCTAAATGATTAAAATATTTTCTACACAGTTAAATATTCATCCAGATTATAATTTTAATACCAAAATTATCTTCCAATATGGGCCTAATTTTTGCTGTTTATTAATAAAGCTATGATTCCAGTTCATATAGCCAAACCTATGTGTACACTGCAAGGATAAATCCCTAAAGGTGGACTGTGGGATTTCTGAGGTCCTATCTCCTATTTTAGGCTTTTGATGTACTAAACTACCTTCCAGAAAGGCTGTGTGATTTATTCTCCATTCATCATGCCTGTTTTCGTACGGTCTGGCTCAAAACCAGTACTATTATTCTAAAACAATTTAACAATGTGCTGGGCAAAATGGCATCACAGTATTTCTTTACTTTGCCTTCCTTTGATTATCAAATAAGGTTAAACATTTTCTTCATGTATTTATTGACTATATTTCCTCTTTTCTGATTTACCTCCTGTTCATGTCCCTTGCCCATTTTCTTACTGATTTGTAGGAGCTTTTTTTTTTTTTTTTTTTTGCAGGGCGTGGTGGGGTAGGAGCTTTTTTAATAAATTGAGAATAATCCTTTATCTATTGGAAGTATTACAAATATAATTAAGTAACTAAAAATGGCTCAGTCTGTCCCCAGATTTGCTATGACACTGGACGTGCGATGACATGAGCTCAGTATCATCAGGCTGTAGCTGGAAAAGACAAAAGAGGAGAAGGAATTTGATGTTCTGTACTCAGCTTTAGAGAAGCACTCAGTGACTCAGAGAAAAAGATACACTCTGTTTAAAAGCTGTGGACTCACTAGCAAAGAAAAGATGGTATCACTAATTTTGATACAAGACTATATAACATTTTAGTTACATGATTAGTCGATAATTTTTCAGACATCTTAGCTTCCTTATCATAGGATGGTCACTAACATGCCACCACTGCCCGTAAGTCACATATACAAGACCCATCATGGTAGCTAGCACAGGGCTTGTTTAAACAAAGGAATCATTCTAAAGAAATGTACATTTCAATCAGAGTTTAGGCTAGTGTTAATGGAAGAGTCACATTACCACGTGGACGGGACCTGAACCACGATTCTGGAGCCTTCTAAACTGATTTGGGGAGCATAGGCTTCTTTATTTTCAATCTGTGCCGTGTCAACCACTACCTAAAAGAGAAACAAGAACAACAACCAGACTTCAGAGAGGAAAACGGATCACAAACAAATGTAACACAGGAGCCTACTCATGCTGAGTGTCTCTGGCAAGAACTATCCTCTGTCAACATAACTCTGCAGAGGCCAGTCAGCAGCCCAGATAAAGACAATGGCAGCAAGTAATAAAGATGACTGAATGTAACAATACTTCAACAAAAACTAAATTCTAGGTGTGAGATTTACTGAACTTTGCAAGCATTTTTAGCACTTTTTCCAAACTATAACTATGTTAATTAGGAACTGATTTGTTTCCTTTTTCTTAGTATTTTTTACCCTCTGCACATAAACCCAGAGCCCTGTGGTGCAGTGGTTAAGGGCCTGGCTGCCAACGAAAAGGTGGCAGTTTGAACCCACCAGCCACTGCATAGGAAAAAGATGGGGCAGTCTGCTTCCCTAAAGATTTAGAGCCTTGGAAACTTACAGGGTCACTGTGAGTCAGAAGCGATTCGACAGCGATGGGTTGGATTTTGGTTTTATGCATATAAGTGAAGTAAAAATGTCATTAATAATCAAACCAGTGCTTCAGAAAGCCCATTTGTAATGACTGAATACAAGTGAGAAGCGGATGAAGCTTTTTTTTTTTAGATTTTTTTTTTAAGATTATTTTATCCTCAACCATCAATAAAACCAGAACTACATCAGAACAGATGAAGAACCAGCCATTCTTGTGATGATTTCCTCTTATTCAGAGGAGACTCTTTAATACTACATAGATGATAGATATAGTATCTATGTAATCTAAACAGTGTGACAAAGTAATGCATATATTTTCAAATAATTAAAAAAATTTTAAGAAAATAATCATAAAATACTTTAAAAACAAATCAGTAATATTTCAGAAGGGGTAAAGCTATGCATGATTCTAAATTCAGCCTCTAGTGGAACACATTTCCACTGCTATAAACACAGAGTTCTCACAGCTGGTCTGCAATGCCCTTCGGAAAAGACTTCCTGTCCAAGGAACAGCCATTGTTGAACCAGGCAGGTGCTTCCTCTCTCCTCCCTTCCACAGAACCATAATCTAAAGGTTCTTTGTCAGTTACACACAAAGGTCCCTGCGATCAAGGGGTAGGGAATTAGGAAGAACTTTCTGCTCCCAGAAAAACATGGCCTTTTTTTTTTTTTTTTTAAAAAAAAAGCTACAATGTTTTTTCCAAATAGCCTGTGTCCTACTTTAGTTTACACGCTCCTGTCTAGAGAACTCGTTGCCATGGTTCTCCTATTTCAGCTAACTGGTCCTTGGGAATACGGCCCAATCTAAAGGCAATGGGCTCTTCAGTGGGGGTGTCTGATTTACTCCTTCTCTTGGGAGGTCTGATACCAAGAAATAGATCCTAAAGGAGACCTAACTCACCACTGTGGACAAGCCCATACCTAGCCCTTTACGTGATAGCGCCACCCTGAGCCGGGCCACCAGAGCCCTCATGCGCATGAAACAAAAGGGCAGTATCCTCCCAACAGTAATTTTCATGAATAAAATAGGAATTAAACTAAGAACTGGTCCTTGATTTTCTTAAGTTCGAATTAGCTTCCTCTAACCTCTGACTAAAATGCTGTATATTATCAAAAAGCAGTAGTTTAATTCTAGAAAGTAAAATCAAGCATATAAAATTATATGGGTCAAAAGTGCCAAACAAAACACCAAATGGTGATTTCAGATGCTGACCTCCTGACCCACCCAACTTTGGCAAGCTTTTTCGTTCTCTCTGAAAGTTACAAAAAAACCAAACCATTGTTTTTGTGTTGATGTGTCATTTTATTGCTGAGAAGGAGATAAACAGAGTTGAGCTACAAAGTGACTGTGGATGGGGGCACTACTTACACTAGCGTGATCAGAGGAGGCCTCCCTGAGGAGGTGACACTCTAGCTGACACCAGAAATATCAGAAGTAGTGAGCCATGTGAAGATCAGAGAGGAGTGTTCCCAGGTAAAGGAGCGCCAAGTGCAAAGGCCTGAGACAGGAACATGCTTGAGGAACGGAAAGAATCCACCGTAGCTACAGGGTAGTCAGGTCAGGTCATGCAGGGCTCTATTAGATCATTACTAATGTAACGGCTTCCTTCAAATGAGGAAGGTCTACAACATCATTTTACAACTAGGTCCTCTGCAAATACATATTACCAATCTATGGAAAAAGAAAATGCCTTTTTAATGCTACTCTTTCTTTACCTTTTCTGTCTGGTCTAAACTCTGCAGCACAGAAGAACTCTTTAATTATTCAGTGTTTTCACACATGTGTGTGCACTCACATCCTTACATGCCTGTAAAGTCTCTCTCCACTCTATTTCTCTCATCTATCACACACATCCACTCACCAGTCCAGCCTGGCCAAACAGCAGCTGCACGGCAGTCTTGCAGGCACCCCGCCATGTGGATGGGCAAACCTGGTTGAGCACTTCAGTCACAGGAAAATCATCCCTGGGTGTGATTCCATTATAGCAGCCTGCTTCCTTGATCAGCTGTAACATCGTATGCTACAGATTGACAAACAGAGTTCATCAGACCGCAAGATCAAAGCCACGCCAGATTCTACAATTTGTAGAAATGGGTTCACAGGCATACAATCATCCTCAAGAAAAAAGCATTTTGTTTAAGTACACCCAAATCAATCATGTTATTTTAATTTCTTAAGTAATTTTCATCAGTCACTCTCGGGGATTTTCTCGACCCTGCAGAGTGAGTGGCTAGATATGGAATACACGTGCATTAATATATATGTTTAATTTATGTACTAACACAAAATATAGCATTATTTAGCCATTTACTGATGCAAATTAGTTAAGGAATTCTGAATTCCTCTAAATAAGGAAACAAACTCACCTGGTAAAAGTGAATGCCAATCAAAACCTCAACTTTATTTTGGATGACCAAGTGGTTAGGTATGTAGGCTTTGGGAACAGACTGCATAAACTCAAATTCTACTACTTTTTAGCTGTGTGAACTGGGGCCTCACTTCCCCTATGTGTCAAACGGGGAAAAAGACATCACCCACCTCACACGTGAGCGCTACATGACACAAAGCATGTGAAGTACCTGTCACAATGCCTGGCACACCTGACGCTCCGTAAGTAGTTCGTTATTATTGCAGTATTGTGACAAGATCTCTCCTCTTACTTAATGTGCAAAAGTCCACTGAGAAACATTAATCATAAACAATACTTCATACAGTACTTTCAAAACCCTTTATGTCAAACAGTTAAAAAGTTACAAATAAAACCAACTTGGCAAATGTCTCATTAAAAAATCTCTACAGGTCTGCTGTCAGACACCAGTTTTCTGAGGAAGAAGGTCAGTGCCTCCTGCCTTGACCTCAGTTTTATATTTTGTGTAATTTCCTTTTTTTGTTTTTAAACTTTTTATTGTACTTTAGACGAAGGTTTACAGAACAAATAGTTTCTCATTAAACAGTTAGTACATATATTGTTTTACGACACTGGTTAGCAACCCCACGACATGTTAACACTCTCCCTTCTTGACCTTGGGTTCCCTATTATGAGCTTTCCTGTCCCCTCCTGCCTTCTAGTCCTGGTCCCTGGGCTGTTATGCCCCATTAGTCTCATTTTGTTTTATGGGGCTGTCTAATTTCAGTTTTTGTTTTTAAATCTATATTCTTCACAAGTCCACTGTTTCCCTTTAAGAACTCTATTTTCAAAGTTCACACTTGGGTTGGTGGAACCCCACAGAAAGCTACCGTCTTAAGTTTCAGATTGTCGGCGGCCGACTCGTTAAAGGAGACACCCTTCAGGAAGTGCGATCCTATCTGCACAGGGACGGTGGGGAGCTCACACTGCATGGGCTGTGGGGGAGTCTGCCTCCGCCCTGTCTGCTGGGCTTCCACTTCGCTGCAGCAGCCCTGCAAAAGGGTAGGATGTGAGAGGAGCAGTGACCCACAGCTCATCTATCAAAACAGCTGGTTCACACGAGACTGGAGGACCACGGCTCCAGAGAGCTACCAGAAATCACAACGTACCTGTAAACTTGCTTCAATCGCCTTTGGATTCAAGTGGAAGCCAGCTTTCATTGCATATTCACAGTGACCTAAGCTTTCCAGAGCTATCTTATATGCCTGCAAAGAAATTAAGAATTAATATTATCTGGCAGATTATAACATGACAAAATCCAATGAAAATAGAAATTTAAAATTTCTGTAGTTATTAAGGAGCCCTGGTGGCATTGTGGTTAAGAGCTCAGCTGCTAACCAAAAGATAGGCAGTTCGAATCCATCAGCCACTTCTTGGAAACCCTATGGGGTGGTTCTATTCTGTCCTATAGAGTCGCTATGAATTGGAATCGACTCCACGGCAATGGGTTTGTTTTTGTTTTTGTTTTTAGTTATTAAAAGACTTCAGGCCAATTATTATTTTATTACCCTTTCCACTCGGTTAAACATGGCAAATTTAACACCTGCCCTCTTTTCCATTCCTCGAATATAAATATGCGAGTCCTCAAAAACTTACTTGCAAAGCACTGTCAATTTTTATGTTCAGTTCTTTTAGCTGATGATCAGGAATTGCTGCACTCTGAGAACAGAAGAGCTGTTGAACTTCAATTCCCGCCAGGCAGCCATCACACCCTCTTTCTCTTAGTCTAGATGTTGCCTGCAACATAAAAAGTAACTGGTAGGTATAAGAGGATGCTACAGTTACTAGCAAAAGTTGAAAAACTAAAATAAAGCAAGAAACCATCTAAGCATTGCTATAAGCCACAGGTTCTAGATTGCAGGTATTACAAAATGAGACAGGAATACCGAAAGCCTTATTAACCATTCTGAGGAGAAAGCAAACGTAGTTTTAGCATTACCCTAGTTTAGAAATCCTGAAAAACATATTCATACATTTTTAATTGCCCTGCTTTAAAAAAGATCACCTAGAATATACTGGTTTCCAGATTTTAAAAAAAAAGAAGGAATGTATACGGTTGGGTACTCATATAACACTGAACTAAAAAGCCACACCAATACAGATCAGGAAAAAACACACATTGGAACATTAAAGGAAAAACAGAAATTTAGAAATCTGCACAGATAATTATATGCTTAATTGTCCAGTCATTAAATATGCTTATGAAGATTACAAAAGCAAGACAAAAAAACAAGGAAAGAACCAATCCGTGTCATATTATGACGAAACGCAAAAAAAGTTACATATCCATGTGGGCCAGGACTAGAAGAGAATACAGAAGAAAAATGTACATTTGATTTAGCAGATGGGTGGAGGGATTCAAGACGAACTGCATTTCAATTTTTTTATTTCTATTTTTATTGCAATAGTATTTGTGCAACAAATAACATTTTTTAACAGTTAATTTTTGTTCTTCCAGGCCAGTATCAGAGTTGCAATATTTACCAAAATTGCAGGACTACCGCAAAGTAACTACAGCTATAATACAGTGAAATCCTAAAGCTATGATTTCATAAATTATATATGAATACAACTGCAACCATTCCCTGGACCCTAATAGTCTCCCAATTTAAAACAGTCTGACTCACTCTAAGACTTTCACTCAAATATTTAGCCCACAGGTGTTGCTGTCGGTGCCACCAAATACCCAGTGAAGCACAAAACCTAATCCTACTCTCCTGGACCTGACAGCTTCATGGGGCGAAAAGGTAAACAAATAAAACACAGAAATAAAAATGAAGAAAAGGACACTGAGGAAAACAGAGCACTGTAACAGGAAGCACCCTAGATATTGAGCAAAGAGTTAAAGGAGGAAAAGGCAGTCAATGACAGTGTGTAAGGGAGGGGTCACAAAAGGCAGACAGATCCACAGCATGTGCCAAGGATCCAAGGCAGCCAACAAGGAGATACAGGCAAGGAACTGGAGCCCAGTGAGCGAGGAGGAGAGTGGCCACAGGATGACAAGTGAGGTGGGGGCCAGACTACCTAGCAGGTTGTGGCAAAGGCCTACACTTTACCCTAAGGCAATGGGGAGTAACACCATCCAGTCTGAAATGGACGGAGAAGGAGGAACGCAAGTGAAAGAGGGGCTGCTGTTGTCCAGGGAAGTAACGATCGCCTGAACAAAGGTAGTGATAGTGGACGTGGACAGAAGGGGCAGATTTGGGATAATATTTTAGAGGTGGGACCTGCAGGGGTTTCTTATGGACTAGGCATAGGTGTGACAGAAAGACTGGTAGATAAATCCTAGATTTCTCATATGAATGACCCAGGGTGGGATGGCATGGGGAAGACTTGGGCAGGAACAGTTAAGCCTGAACCACTTGGGAGAGCTAAGGTCAGCAGCAGCTGAATACAGGGGCCTGGGGCCCCAGAAGTGGGCTGGTCGTGCACATGTGAGGCTCTCCAGAACATAGTGGTTTTTAAAGCCCTAAGACCCCCTAGGGAGAAGGGCACCTAGAACAGCGTCTTGAGAAACTCACATTTATAAGTTGTGTTGATGAGGAAAAGCCAGCAGAGTAAATGAAGAAAGGATGGCTTCAGAAGTAAGAGGGTAATTAAGAAGGCCTGATTCTCAGATGCCACAAGGAGAGTATTTCCAAGGGAAGAGTAGCCCACGTTGCTGTGAGCTGCTGAATGGAGTCAAAAGGGCTTTGGCAACACAGACGGCAACAGTGATCTTGGCAAGAAAAGTCGCGTTCTCATGTTGGGGTATAAGCCAGATCTCAGTGCGCTGAATGATGCCATTTATGTAAAGTTTCAAATCACGCAAAATAATACTTTACAGTATTTATGGATACATGCGTATATAGTAAAAGTATACAAATATACATAAGAGTCACAAACTCCAAATTCAAAGTAGAGGGTATCTCTAGAGAGGAAGAGATGTGGATAAGATAGTGGAGAGGTAGAAAGAGGATTCAACTGCATTTGTAATGTTTTATTCTTTTAAAAGTCAAAGGCATGCTAGAGGTCAGAGACTGAAGCAGCAGAGACACTCTCCTTCACTGGTCTTGAAGAAACAAGCCATCACAAGTTCTACAGCCATGAGGAAATGAACTCTACCGACAATCAGTAAGCTTGGAAGAGGATGCCGAGCTCTAGGTAAGAACGCAGCCCCAAGTGACACCCTGATTGTATACAGGCTTGTCAGACCAGAAGACCCATCTGAGTAGGCTATGCCTGCGTTTCTGATCCATAGATGTTGTTGCGGTGAGCTGCTGTCCACCCCCAACTCGTGGCGACCTCACGTGTTGCAAAGTAGAACTGCTTCATAGGGTTTTCTTGGCTGTCATCTTTACAAAAGCAGTTTGCCAGGCTTTTCTTCCATGGAGCGGCTGTGTGAGTCTGCATTACCAGCCTTTAGATTAGCAGCCAATCGCAAACCACTTGCACCACCCAGGCTCCTCCGACCCACAGAAGCTGGTATATAATAAATGCATGACGTTTGAAATAAATTTTAAATTAAATTAAAAAATAAAAGGTGTGAAGCAAATATGGCAAAATGTTAAGATTCATTTGACAAAGCTAAAAAGATACATGATGGGGTAGGTGGACTTTTTTTTATTTGTGTCAAATATTTCCTAATGATATTTTTTTAGAATGAATGAAGGTGAGAAAAAGGTAGACAGCTCTCCAGGAAGTTAGCTGTGAAAAAGAGCAGAGAAACAGGGCAGGGCAGGGCAGGAAGAATTTTTGTGTTTGGAAGCATGTTCGTACTGGTGGGAACAAAGCTGATGATGAGGGAGAGAAAACACAGGGTCCCACCACAGGAACTGGGTTCTCGAAAATGGGGAAAGGGTGGGGGTGGGAATAAGCCCTGGACAGAGGAACGGGTACCCCCTCTGCTAGAATGAAGAGGAAAGAAGAGAAGACAGGTCTGAAAGGAGGGGGACTCTGATTTGGTGATGTGAAGACAGGGGCTGCTGTAGGTGAGCTATTTTCTTAGTGCAGTGTAGGGCAGGGTCACTCGCTGAAGCAAAGGGAGTGAAAGGAGGGTAGAAGGGCCTGGATAGGCTGAAGTGGGTGCAGCAGAGATCAAGGCAGGGAGATCAAGGGACCACGAGAGGCCTGGTGTCAAGTGGTTCTCAGTATGGATGATGACAGCAAGCGGAATGGAGAGAAGATTTTGAGCCAGGGACCAAAGCTTTATGAATGCGAGCTGAATGATCATGAGGCTGAGGCACAGCAGACAGGAGGACAGAGTGAACTGTAAAGCTAGATGACAAGGACACAGGTCTGGACCCCACAGTGACGATTTCTGGACCACTCTGACAAACACCAAGAAAGAGAGGCCAAAACAGACAACCAGGAAAAGGTAATCCAAAGGAAACAACAAAATACAGCAAACAGCATAAAACCGAAAAACTAAGAAAATTCAGAGTGTACAATGTTAAACGTGAAAAATCATGTTGAAAAGGTTTCATTAAAGGGCATTTCTAAAGCATAAAATGAAATACTCTGCCAATTTAATTATGAAATAATTCAAACTAGACATTATATAATAAATCAACATATTATTCCTTTATAATTAAATTATCTCTTCTTTTGTAAAATGGAGCAGTAAGTCTTAGTCAAAGCCTCGAACTGGACAGCATTTTCCATAGTGGAGACAAAGGAATATTACAACGCCTGTAATAAACGTGTTGTCACTGACTGTAAAAGAAGTCTCCCTAAGAGACACTTTTCTGTTTAAGAGGTGTTTCTGATTGGCTTATATTCAAGTTTAAATTCTTCTGGTTGTGGGAAAAGAATAGACTCCCACACCAGAGTGACTAGCAAAGGGGAATCCTATCTGTTAGGGACTGAACTGTGTCCCCCAAAAATATGTTTTGTAAATCCTAACCTCTATGCCTGTGGCTATAAAATTTGGGAATGCATTGTTTTTGTTATGTTAATGAGACAGGATTAGTGTAGGGTATGTCTTAAGTCAGTCTCTTCTGAGATATAAAAGAGATTAAACAAGTAAGCTAAAGAGCAGAGATGGGGGAAGAGAGATGTCAAGCCACATAAACATTGCCCAGGACAGAAAATCAAAAGAGACAAGGACCTTCTTCCAGAGCCAACAGAGAGAAAAAGCCTTTCCCTAGAGCCAGCGCCCTATTTTCAGACTTCTAGCCTCCTAAACTGTGAGAAAATAAATTTCTGTTTGTTAAAGCCATCCACTTGTGGTATTTCAGTTATAGCAGCATTAGATAACTAAGACACTATCCCAGGCTGGAATCCCATACCAGGGTGGCTCAGGGAAATTCTTGCGGCCTACCATCATGTTACAAGGTTGTGTGGGAAAGCAGAAGTGAGCACGAGAAGAGAATCTTCACTAATGAACATGTACACTCAGTCCCCATGGGTAACACACCTCCCTATCTCTGATCTCCATGCCGTCCCACACCAATACTACCTCCACCTACTAATGAAGTCAGTCTCTTATTAGGTCTCTTGATGATGGTCAGATTTTATAAAAATATCTGCTGTTCTGGGAAACAGCAAATCTTTCAAAACATGCAAGATTTCATGAAGTCCAATAAAGTAATACTGGTTAATTGCTCAAATCACATGCAAAGCACGGTATAGGCAGAGTTAAACCACTTAAAAATCTTAAAGAAGAAAAGAGCTACAAAGATGAGGAGCACTTCTGAAGAGAACGATGTGGACATCAAAAAGCAGACACAACTCCTTAACGCTCACTGCGCTTTAACTGCAGTGCAACTGCAGCTCTGGGCCTGCCTCTGCCTGGAAGCTTTCCTGCACGGCTCCCATTCAGAGGCAGAACTTCCTCTGGGCTCCAGCACACCTCCTTCGTGGCTTCCTCAACCCTGTTTCTGTAAGTCCTTTCTCCCAGTAGGCTGTGAGTAGAGGCTGTCACCCAGTGCCTGGCATATGCCTGACACAAAGTGCATATGCACTGCACGAAGTCATTTACTGTCAAATGAATGAACAAGCTAATGGTAACAGTTTAAAACTTAAACGTCTAAATAAAATGACTATTTTGAAAACCAACAGACAAAGTACTCTGGAGTGGCTCCTATATGAACACAGGGCACAATCACCCCAAAGCCTGGGTTACCTCAGCAGCCCCCCGCCAGGATCGCACAGCTTCCTCCAGTTCAGGTGTGTGGCTCATGCCAGGTAAGCCACTGCCACTGCTGCTGCTCTTTTTCTCTGGCATGACAACCTCGGCAAAGCAAGAGTGGGCCACTGGCTGGACCTTCTGTAATGCCTGGGTCAAAAACTGGAAATGGACTTGCACCACTGTCAAGAAACATCGTCCCAACACCTGTGAAAACAAGAGAGCCAAGGATGTTTTAGGTTGCAGGTTGCTGCTGGATTAGTGAAATAAATTCTCAACCATCACTGTAACATCATCTCATACTGTATACAACATTAATTAATTGGAAATTTAAAATAATATAAAATTAAAAAGCCACCATGCTTTAGAAGGATCTTTGTTCTTGTGTTTGGACCCGGGTGCCTGATGCCTAGAAGTCAAAATGTTTCAAACAATAGTAATACCAAGTATTCAAATGGGTCCTCCAACTTCCCACCAAGCCTCCTCCACTCCTGTTCTCTACTCCCCTCCTCTGGACCCTGGCTTACACCACCCCTGGTTGTCTTTAAGCCCCTGCTGAACCCAAGCAACCACAATTCCAATTATGTCCACAGAGTATTCAGAGGACAGAATAAAAGCCAGGCTACTAAAAGTTTGAGAGAAGGTCAGTTTGACTACAAGAAGACATTCCATTAGAAATGGAATCTAGAGGTATGGGTTGTTTTAGTAAGAGCGTAACTAACATAGTTATTAACCTAGTTGCATGTCATATTTCCGGTACTATAAAACAGAGTTGACAGACTAGTTTTCTAGAAGTCAACAAAATTCTTGTAGAGACTTAAACCATTTTTGAACTACCAACATATTGGACAATTCTAGTTGTCAGTACATCAGAAACCCACTCACCTGATCTGTATTAGTAGTCGGATGGTTGATGGAATAATCCATTAAACTAGAGAACTCATTATAACAAATACTGTGTGGCGCACTGGTTAAGAGCTTGGCTGCTAACCAAAGGTCAGCAGCTTGAATCCACCAGCGCTATGGGGAAAGTTCTACTTGGAAACTCTATGGGGCAGTTCTACTTTGTCCTATAGGGTTGCTAGGAGTCGGAATCGACTTGACGGCAATTTTTTTTTTTTTTTTTTTAATGTATAATACCATAAAAATTTTAAGATACAAATGTGCATTCACCTGCCAACCTTCTGGCAGCTACAGCTGTTCTCTGACACTGTTGTTCCCTGTTTTATTTCTTTGTTAACTACGGCTACAGGGTGTTCTCTATAATTTCCTATTTCCCTTTCTTTAAAGTAGAGCAAGAACTTGTCACTTGCAAAGCAACTAGAGCAGAGACTCTCCAGATTATTTACATTTTTCCCCTAATCTTTTACAGCTGCTTTCCCCACATTAAATTTGACAATAACAACAAAAACTCTCTGCAACTCTTTTATCATGTTCCATAACATCCAAATTCTTCTTCATGGAAAGTGTTTTATGTTTCTTTGGCTTACACAGTAGATCACTTACTCACCAAGAAATTTATTTATTGAATTTACAACATATTCAACTGGTAGGAACAAACCTGAGAGGGCTCACTTGCAGCCAGCATTCTGCACTGCCTTGAGGAGGTGGTAAGGTTGGAGAACTATTTCTATTGCCTTTACAAGGAATGTCTTAGGCTGGGTTCTCCGGAGAAGCAAAACCAGTGAAGCATATATTATATATAGAGAACGAGATTTATCTCAAGGAAATGGCTCACGAGATTGTAGAGGCTGGCAAGTCCCAAGTCCGTGGGTTAGGCATCAGGCTGGAGGCTTCTTCTAACTCACGAAGCTGCAGGGACTGATGAGGCAAATATCGGCAGGTCAGTCAGCAGGCCTCTGGCTCACAGGCTGTGGAGGCTGACAAATCCCAAGATTGGCAGGTAAGACGGCAGGCCGCTGGCTCACAGGCTGTAGAGGCTGACGAATCCCAGCAGGTAAGCTGCCAGCTCAAGTCCCAAGAATCAGAGGTCAGATGATGACGAGCTGGATGCAGGATCCAGAGCAAGAGCCTTGCTGGAGGCAGGCCACACCTCCAAGGAAACCTCCTTCCAGCTGATTGGCTGCTCATGGCAGATCTCTTCATGGTGTTGATTACATCATTACATAACTGCCAAACAACATCACTGCTGCCAAACCACTGAGAATCATGGGCCAGCCAAGGTGACACACAACCTTAACGATCACAAGGAACTAAAATCCAAGCCCAGTGCCCACCATCCAGCTTTGTCCTATCCCTTGGAGCAGCCCAAAATAAGACTCAAGCTGGTAAGAACCTCCCAGCACACATGCAAAGCACTGCCCTCCACCATGTACCCTCTCCATTCCCACTGCTCAGAGCTCTGCTTCTTGGAGAAATAGGGGCAGGCCAGTTCCCAGCACTGCCACTTATTCCTTCTGAATTTTTTTGCCCTGTGGAAATCACCAGGACAAATTAAAACAAACAAAAGAAAACTTGCACAAATCTCACACCAAAATACCCTCCTTCTGCAGTGAACAATCAGAATCACAGGCTGAATCCCCATCCAAACCTCCTGGGGTTTCCACTCACACCTCCTTCAAAGCTCCTCCCCACTGATGATCTATGCTAGACTGCTCAGGGTGAGGGACACAGAGGTAGGAGACCTTGAAACCTAGTTAGAGACATGTGACATGAATAGAAAAAGAGTATTATTTACTATTGTACGTGATAACAACAGTCAGCTTTAACTGAGCACTCAGCAAGTACTTGATTCTATGCTAAGGATTTCACATGGTTTATCTCATTTAATCCTAGGAACAACCAATGAGGCCACTCCCATTTTACAGACGAAAAGACCGAGGTACAGAGAGGTTATGAAACTCTGCCAAGAGCTAGATATAGCAGAGTGGTCACCTGACTTGCGTGTCTATGCCCTTCGCTAGTGTTTCCCATTGCCTTCAACAAACTCTGAATAGCTGGAAGTAGTTGTGGCTGGTAGCACAGAGACCAGGCACATGACAGAAATTCAGCCTTAACTGGCTTAGGTCAGAATGAGGGTGTTCTGAATCTTCTCACAATGCAAACAAAGAGAAGGAGTAGAGCAGGGTCCTCAGGGACATAAATTCTTCCTCCCTCCCCTTCCTCAGCATCCTGGCCAGCTACAGGGAGGGGAGAGGGGGAAGAGGAGATGCCATGCACCATCTGCTCTCTTTCACATGGAAGTGAGAGAATACAAACCAACAAATATACAGAGCCCGGTGCTGCTAGGAGAATGTATACTAAAGGAGAGATGGAAAGGAAAAGGCTCTCTGAGGTAACGATCAAGGGAAAAGAGCTATCTCTGCCCCTTCTGAAAAGGAAAATGCTTGGAAAGGACTCTGAAGGCCTGATGCAAGGTAACGACCAAGGAAAAAGAGCTATCTCTGCCCCTTCTAAAAAGGAAAATGCTTGGAAAGGACTCTTAAGGCCTGATGCAGGGTCCCCAGTCCCAGAATAAGACATTCTTCTGACAATTCCAATCTGGGTCGCACACCCACTCTGTGTTAGGAGGGGGGTTGGGATGCTCCTCTGGTTGTGGAGTCATAGGAGGAGGATGTTGCTACAGGATTAAGTGGGAGAAGAGATGCTAGAAGGTTTTAAAAGGCAGACATTCAGTATGTAGTCTCCTCCATTTATTACATGTTTGACTTTGGACGAGTCATTTCACTTCTCTAAGTTTCTTCCCTATAAATAAGGAATGATGAGAACAAGAGCTCAGCTACCATGCACCTCCCTTCTCCTACCCATGATGCATGGAGCATCAACCCAAATTATGGCTGTGATAAAATATTTGTGTTGTAAACAATTCAGTAAAAGCCAATCAAACCAATGGTTACCCTGGACCTTAGAAACAGCTGTTTCACAGAATATCTGCTATAAAAATTTACCTAAAGTAACATATACAAAAACACCACCTTCTCTTGACAGAGGATAGAGCTCAACCTCTAGGAGTCCCCTCTGTCCGCTTTTTCTGTACATTATCTCATGCCTTTCTTAGACCAGCTCTCCTCCTGTAACAGAGCCTATTCTCCTTGACCCAGGGATGGGCCAGTCCTTGGAGTGTTCCTGAGAGATCTGGAAGGAAACGTAGACTCTAAGTTATGGATTTGGAAGAGTGTGATCCCAGGGCTGTGGGCAGTTATTTTCTCCTTCACATAGACTACAGCATTCAGTAAGGTTGTAGAATAGATGTGGCAAGCTGGGCAACAGATGAGTGGGGTGGTCAAAGATAGACATTTGAGTTGAAAATGTCAGTGGAGCTACAGTTCCAGTTTTACCAACAGCTACCACCTACTGTGTGTTTAACCCCACACCAAACACTTTACATGTGGTGAGGTAACCCTATCAGGTAAGAGCAATTTACCCCATTTTGCAGATGATGAAACTGAGGCTTAGCTCAATGTCAAACAGGTACTAAGTACTGCAGTAGGATCTGAAGCCAGTTCTGTCTGACTCCAAAAGCTGTTTTCCTAACCACCAGGCTGCTGCTCTGCCTCCCTATGACAAGATCCAGGACGTAGCCACAACAGTGGGTGAATTTTAAGAAGAAAAGAAGGAATCCTGTGTAGAAACTTGTACAGTATCAGTCTTTGGTGTGGGAATAAAGACTGAAAGGCAGGGCTCCTTCTCTGACAGTGGAAGAAAGACTGGACAACAGTAATGAAGGAGGGTGGCCTGTGGCACTCCTGAAATGCATGAGTCTCAAAGTGGGGTGATGCCACAGCAGAGAGTAGCTGTTAAGATTAGCTGGAAGAAGCAATGCTCAACAAGCAGGAGACATACAGGACTTGGGAAAAAGAGCAGCTTCTCTACCTCTTGACAACCTCCAAATCCACAAACCAACGTTCAGTCTTCCAGCACATCACATTTAAGAGTTAAGAGAGCAAACTGATCTCATCTTACCCTTGGCATTTGTATTCTCATAAATAAACCCGTTTGCATCAGTGCGTCCCAGGTTGATGGCGATGAGAGGCCATTATCTGACAGAGTTGAGAAGACCTCACATAAAGAGAAACCTTTTAGTGTGACTTAAATCCCTGATAAAGGCCCAATTCCTGAATACAGACAATCGAGTGACCTTGCCTACTGGTCCATGAGCAGTGTGGTACAAATAGCCATCAGGGATCTACTGATAGGGAACCCTGTTTTCAGGGAAACCCTAATGGTGGAGGAAAAGGGTACATCTT